AGAATGTCAAATCAAAAAACTAAATTTTGACGAGTGCTTCGATATCTGGCATGATCCTCGATAGTCTCATGGACGCTCTCTTAAATAATCTGCTTTGTCAGGATTCACTTTTAATCACGTTCTTTCTTTCTCTCTGCGCAATAAGTATTTTTGTAAAAAATTTCCATCTTTCAGAGTTTCCATCTGTTGTAGAATAAAAACTCGTCAGATATGTAAAAAGGGTGTACATATCAATGAAAGATGACTATACTTTCCACATCGTTGTTCATGTGTGTGTATTCTCACACCCTTCATTATATACAAAACATTGTTAACTAATTTAAATAAAATATTTATCTTTATAGAATAATTCAAAATCAACAATGTTTGATTTTTTAAAATAATTTATTACTATGTTAAGACACTTTAGTTATTTTTTTTATAACAAAAGTCAAAATATATAGCTGTCACATTGAGTCGAGAAGATCCGCATTATATGAACTTTCCATTTGATTACATAATGAATGAACGAAGTGTGAGTGCAGGTGGGTGTGGGTAATGAATGAGAAGAATACACACCCACACCCAAACCCTCAAGATTTTTCTTTATCTACTTTGATAAAGTTCTATTAATTCGCAACAATGAAAAATTTGTCATTTTGTTAAACAACACCACATTTATTTTTTCTTTAAGTCATCAATAAAAATAATATATTCATACATATGATTATGACATAAAGTAACTATTTCATTCACTACAAAATTTCAATTTACTTAAACATTCAAATATAAATAAGATTTGTGGAATATAAAAATTGTCTTACCCATAATTCAAGTTCAAAACAGAATTAAGTTTCTAATAAGACAACTACAATTTCAATATATTGCAAGCAGTGTACTAATCAAATAAGACAATATATCTGCATTATAATAGTAGTAACAAGGAGATAAAATTCAATTAAATTCACAATAGTTTTATTCAGCATTGTTCTTTTCTCATATTTATTTAAGTATTAAAATATCTACATGAAAATGACGTTTATAATTAAAGATGAAACATTTATAGAACGTATATTTTCTATGTTATTTGCTATGAGTTTCAAATTACCAAATATTATTTACCAATGTGTATGCGAAAAATAAATGGCGTTTTAGAAATATAATATCTACTCAAAAACAATTTACATTGGATATATATGTTATTAAAAAAAAGGAAGTGATTTGTATATATTCCGATATAAAAACACTCGTGCTGAGCCTAAAAATCATTCACATTTTCAAAACTCGGACAAGAATGAAGACATTCATTAATGCTATTGTTATTTGCCTCATATTTTCATATGCATCAGCACAAGGTAAAAACAAGTGATATATATATGTATAGATACATTTTTGTTGATATATTTTCTTTTAGGTTGCAGTGCTAACGTATGCGATTTAGGTCCTTATTTCAGTGAGACAAATGGTTATCGTTGTCTCGATTTGGGTGGCAGTAATGTTGTATGTACATGTCCTGGTGGTGCATACGAGATTAATCAACCTTGTCGTATGAGGATAATACAATAAAATAAACATTAAAAGAACTAACTTACTTATATTTTATAGGTCTTTGTAACCGACAAGACCCTGCAAACAATGTCTGCCGAAATACCAATGGAAAGCTACTAGCATGTCTTGAAACTAATGACTGTGGGACATCCTATGCATGTCTGTGCACAGCTAATACCACAGACGGTACAGCACTAACAACAGATGTTAATTGCGGTCAGTAATAGACAAAACCTTCTTTTCCACAAATATTAATTTTAATTATCGTTATTTTTTCTTCGTATAGACACAACTCATACATTGACATGCTCGTCAACAACAAATCCTTCAACTCCATCACCATGTTTGAATGGTGGTGTTTTTACCGGTGGTATTTGTCATTGTTCATCTGGTTATAGCGGAACAATCTGTCAAGACAAAAATGGTAATATTCTTTATTTTTACTAATATAATTATTTTCTACTATTTATTGTTCAGACTATAATTTATGTGAAAAAGTTCGATGTAAAAATAACGGTGTTTATGCTATTCAAAATCCAAATGGACCATATGAATGTGTTTGTCTTTGTCAATATGGTACCTGGGGAGATTATTGTGAATTAAATGGTAAACATTTTTTCGCTATCTTACTCTTAAATTATAATTTCTCAATAGGTACTCTGGGTTTTTGTTCGGCAAGCTCATGTTTAAATGAAGGAGCTTGTAGAGAGAATGTTATTGGTTCAACACGTTTTGCTTATTGTCAATGTGCACCAGGTTACAGGGGTGCTAAATGCGAGACTAGTATGTGTTTATGTTGATGTTTGATACATATAAAATCATTTTTGTTTGTTACAGATTATTTTACTTGTCCCACAGCTGGTAGTTTTCCTGATACTGATATGCATGAACAAGGAAAATATTTCGAATGTAAAATAGTATCTGGATGTAAGAATTTATAAATAATTTGAAGTTTTATATAATGTATTCATTTTGTTTCTTATTCATAGCATTCCGCATCGAACGAAAATCATGTCCCAAAGGACTTCGTTTCAATACAACTTCACAACTTTGCATGTATTAAGACGTTAATAATTTATTATTCCACTTACGTGTAATCAATAGCAACTTTTAAATTATTTAAACTACTCAATAAAATGAATTACATACATACATGCGTTCAGTCTCTGTCATAGATAGCCTCATTACAACTTCTATGCTACTTCCCTAGCTTCAGGAGAAGGTCTCGAAAGGATGGGGAGATATGTATTACATTAACTGATTCTAACTAATTTTGTGTACTAATCGTACTATTTTTATTTATGAAAAAAACAAAGATAAAAAGTAAATCAATTTTCATGATATATAATTTCTTATAATTTCCAATGCACACTTATTTTGTCACCACTACGTTGAATTGTATAGTTATCAATAACTATATCGAAAACAATTGCCTCTGCTAAACTTCTAACCATGTTGTCATCTGCTATAGGATTAATGAAGCACAGACAGCAGAGTTTAGGAATACATGTCCTTTGATTCATAATAAATTTCATAAGTAATGAGACATCTGTATCTGACATACATTCTACTTCAAGATATTCTATATATGGACAAAGATTGATAAAAAACTCAATTTCTTCTTCGTCGTCTTCTGTAACTTGACCAAGTTTAACTTGTGTTATTTTGTTAATAGCCGATACTGGTAGATTATTTTTGATATCTTCACTAGATAAAGATTCCAACGGAAATATTGGTATAGATGACAGTTTTAATGATTCAATATTTGGCAACATATGTAGAATATCGAGTAACATCTTAATAGTCAAGTTATCATTATCTATATCTAAATGAGTAAATTGAATCGCTTTAACAGCAGATTTTAATTTCTTAATATATGGCCTATCAAGTTTGGTATATTCGTTATTCCCAATAGTCAATTGTATAATACCATGGTCAGTTTTTTCTCGATTAAAAATATAATTATATTCTTTTCTGATAAAGAAAAAACAAAAAGATATATAAAATCATTTTAACAAAGATTTTTCTGGATATACCTATATGAACGAATTGAAAAAGTCGATGTTATAGAATTTACTTCTAGCTCACGAAATAATTTTCGCTCAAGCCAAAATGGTGAATTAAATTGATGAATGAATCCATCACTTGAATAACTTGAATTTGTCTTCCTATCATCATCAGAACTCGGCGTAAAATTAAAGTAGAATTTTTCTAATTGCGGCATATATTCTTTAATTAATCGTTCCCAACGATTACCATTAAGATAAGCTTTATCATAACATACACCAATGTTCAGCATTTGTAATTGAGAACATATTTCCTCAATAAACGCTTCAAGTTCATCAAACGAAGCAGAAAATTCTACAAAATAAATGGATTTTAAATGTGGTAATTTCATTGATAGATCTTTTTTGAATTTTTTATCTGATTCATTCACTTGATGACAAGACAGATGACGAAGTTGTGGTGTGTAATGAAGTAGAGTATTTAATTGATTAAGAGTACAAGAATGACCAGTAACCAGATATTCAATTGTACTAAATGTTTTATTGATTACATGTGGAATATTAATTGTTAACTTATCAGAAGATGTTATTAGTTTGTTATATTTCAATGAAGATAAAGAAAAAATTAATGGATAAATATTCCCAAGATCACAATAATCATTATCCTTGATAAGAATGACTAGTGAAAAGAGACGAGGTAAAGAATTAAAATAAAAAAGTGTCGTGAGAAGTTTCTCTTTTTCGATTCTTTTGAGAATAATTGATTCGAGACGATGAAATGATGAATTAATAATACAATGATTAAAGAATGCATCAATCAATAATTGCTCATTCGAATAATCAGCCACATGAAGTGAAACAATACGATGTGAATTTGGAATAATAACATGTTGACAACGATCTTTGATTAAAGATGTTGATTTTGAGTCAAGTTCTATTCTAAGTAAAATTGACGAAGAAACGATTAGGTTTTTTATACGGATATTAAGATTTGAAAATGATTTATATGCATCATAAGCATCAAGATATTCGAATATTTCGCACAAAAGTTCATTTGATAAATTTTCTAAACGGGTGTACGATGTACTAAAAAAAAATATTATACATTGAAACAAATGCGTTTGTTGATTACCTTTCGTCGCTTAATGTTGCTAAAGAGAAAAAACGAAAACAAAAAATTATACTCTAATAGAATTCTAATTTACTTCGTGGCTTTTTCGTTTCCACATCGATCGATTGACTTAAACTTAGTTGTCGTTTGATTTGATTCATATTTATGTCAACAAATAAATATAAATTGTAAAAGTTTTCTTAAGTATACAAAATCGGCTGAGTGTAATGGTGTGACGAAGTTGGATTTCGTTTCTTCTATTCGATATATATATACAAACGAACATGGATTATTCACTATTTTTCATTTATTATTCGTTGTTCTATCATTTTCTTTTTAGAAGAAAGATAAAAGAAAATATGCATTTGTGCTTAACACGTGTTATTATTTTCGATAAAAGATAACATTATTTCTTTCTTTCCCTTCTTAAGTTGGAAAAAACCCACTAAAGAATTAAATTTAGATCTTGATTCTTATATTTTTCCACTACTTTTCATCATTATCATATTTTTTTCCCAGTATCTTCGATTTTTTCTCAGTTCATCCATATATGTTGTTTTTCCCTTCTATTGATATTTATATAGAAGTAGTCGATTGGCTGATACGAACAGATTTAGCAATAGCACGTTGAGATGATGAATCTTGAACATCACTTTTATTACGTGATATTTATTTAAACTGAATTATATTGTCAGTGGCATTTATCTCATTCATTAAACTCATTGTTGCTGCTCAAATCAATCAAAAGAATTTCGTTTCTTTTTTCTATTACATAGATTTCGAGGATATAAAAAACCACATGAAACGTTATTACAATGATAAAATATTCAATTCGTTTTTGAAAGTAGTGAATTGAAATCTACTACACAATGTCTCAATTGAATGAATATATGAAATGAGAAAGAATAATTATAAATGATTGAAAAACATTCATATTACATTAAATATATTTTTTACTAGCATCACTATGAATACTTTATTTGAATCGATTATAGTTCTGAGAAATAAAATGACTATTTATAGAAAGAAAAATATATTTCCTTAAAGGTATTGTTATTTTGTAGAATATAATTCACAATCAGTGGAAATTGTCTAGAAACCATTTTGTTTCCTTGAAGGAAAATGTCAGAATACATCATAATTATATATTTTTATATTCATGAAGAAAAGACAATTCAGAAACTATTTTATGTAAAATATTCATTCAACATATTTTTGTTTCTAAAATTTAAAAGTTCTCTACAAAGTTTTTATCAAGAGAGAATTATTTGTATAGAGTTGTTCATATACAATTAATTCTTAATTATATCATACTGTCTATGGCTGATTTGTTTAAGATTTTGGAAATTCTTTAGCATTTTAAACAATGAAATAGTCAATAAGTTTTTGTCTTGAACTGGACGGAAAAATGATAATAAAGGCTGAGCCAAAAGTCTCGGTGCTGGACGAAAATGTTTTTATATCTTTTCTGTTATAAACAAGAAAATACTCAAAGTCTCTCCCTACTAGATACATAACCTAGAATTCTGAAAAGATTTTTCTTTCGGATGACGTGATAAAGTAATTGGGTGCTTCATGATGAATTGTAGTATTTTGCGCTTATCATTACATCAAAAAGGAAATCTAAATACATCACAAGATG